TAAAAAAAAACCCAAAACCTACCAGGAACAATTAAATACAACTTTTGAATTTAACTTAGTTTAAGACAAGAATTCAACTCAGTTTTAGACACCTAAAAGGTTAAAGGCAGAACAAAGGTCCAATGAATGAATAAGCAACAATGATAATAACAAAGAACACAGAACTGAGCAATTCAGTAATTTCTAATAATTAATACTACTCATGTGGTTTGGCAATAATAAAAGCATTCACAAGGGTAGTAAATGGAGCTCTCATTTTTCGTATTTTGAAACAGATCTTTAACAGCATTAGTAAATTTGATTATTTCATTGAATAGTAATTATGCTAATAGGGCATTATGCATGGCAGTGTCTGAATATATGGTGTAAACTTTCCAAACTAATGGAATTAAGCAATGGAAGGACAAATGTGTGTTTGAATGAGATTAGAAACACAAATTTAGTTTTTTTTTAACAACTCTAGTTGTTTAGACACAAAGGTCAAACCATCCTAGGAAAGGAATAGGGTGTTAACAAAGTTTAGAGAACATAGAAGAGATTTAAGAATTTCATTCGATAAAGCACTCCATCAAGTATGCATGATCTTTAAGGACACCCTTTCCAGTTCCTTCAATAGTTTTTGCAACAAGTTATCATACAGATGACTCTTGACAAAGCATATCATTAATATTACACATATAAGACCAAACTGGAAAGAATTTAAAATAACTTCTATGAATATATGGGCAATTTAGTGGCTGATCAGCATTTATTCAAGTTCTGGGCAACCTGAGATTTTGACTTAAACTTTTCTACCTGATTTGCAAACAGTGGGCGATATGTGATTCTCAGCCTGAACACTTAGGTTCCTTCACAGATCTTGTGTTTAGACACATCATCGAACTGAGATGACTTTGTAGAAGAAATAAAGTATTGCTATTCCAGTCAATCCAGATACTTGTTTTTCCTGTTCAAGATTTATCAGGTGATTTAAAAGAATGTCTAGAGAAATATTCTTTTAACTAGGTAAAACTCATAAAGTTCAAACCAACTTCTTACATGATTTAGTGCCAGGTATTGTAATTCCACAGGCCACTAGCATCCCATTTTCTATTGTTCTTTTCAGACTGTTTTTATTCTTTTATGACCATTTATTTTTGTAGCATACTTAGGAAGACTGTGTTTTTGTATTCAAGAGAAGCACATATATGTTTAGAAAATAATTTCTGTGGTATGGCCAGGCAGAAACTTGCCATGAAATGAGGATCCTGAAATGATTCAACAAAGGACTCAAAATTTCTTGAACTTGCTAGCATGAAGAGATTTTGAAACTGGTTCCACTACAAGCTGCACCCTCTGATACACTGGTAATTTTTCACCACGAGAAAAGATTGTTAGCTATAAGAGAATGTCCCACTTTTTCTGTGTCCTTTTTTTGTACCACTACCTTGACACAAGAGCAGTATCAGGAAAAACAGGAGTGCCAGAAA